ACATAATTCAGACTATAGCTAGAAGACCACGCTTATCTTCTGTGTCAAATAACACTTCAGGTAGAAGAATGATGTACACAATCAGAAAATAAATAAACTCATCAATGATAAGGACTATAGTAATGATGATAAATATTAAAGGTTACTTTTACGTATATATTTTTTGATATACCAGCACAATGAAAATAACGTTTAAACAGCAACTGCGATTAGAGATTAAAAAAATGGCGGATGGGATTTTCCAAACTCCGGCGCAATGGTCCCCCTTGATCTACCATGCCTACTTTTCTTCGATAACGTTGTAACGGGGCAGGTAATCCAAACTATGGTCCCCTTTCAGCATAGCCAATCATATCACTGTGAGGAGTGTGGAGATTTTCGGAAATATTCCGAGCACTCCGATGATAGGTTGAACACCAGTCCACCAATTTATCCGGTTTTGTTCACGCACAGGAGTTTGACATTCTATCAATAATTTAAAAATGTAAGCAAATAATAAAGAAATTACCGCAAATATACCTCTTGATAATATAAATGTATTGCATAGAATGGTATATTTGGCGTTATCTCTTAACTATTTGCTTTTATTTTTCAATTATTGATAGAATGTCAAGCTCCTGTATTTTACGGTACGAAATACATGTTTACTTATTTACGCAGTGCAAGAAAGATCTGGTTTGAAACATGTAATCTATTAAACATCTTGAAAAGAGGCAATTTACCTAACACTCGAACAGAAAACCGGTCATAGATTGTTGACTTGCTTGATTCACTAAACATAAAAAAAAAACAATATTTCACATTGCATTCTTTAGTTACTTAAACAATAAATGAAAATGAAATGAAAAAGGACCTGGATACTCCTAAAATGAACAGTGCTTTATAATAAGACGGAGATTATCAAAGGCAATTTAAAGAAATTATTTGTTCAACAGCAGAAATAATTAAAACATATAATCCGAACACTTTTTTGGGGATAATAAAAGGTGCAATAAAAATTGAAATAAAACGTTTTGCAAGTTTTAAGAAAAAGGATAAAAAAGGAACAAGAGTTATATTTTATCTATGAAATAAAACAATTAGAAGATAGAATAATAACAATTGGATCCTATAAAAGAAGTGAAGATGAAAATAAGTTAAAGAAGGAAATGTTATTTAAAAAACCAAGAACTTGATGAAATTTATGAATATCATGTAAATGGCTTGACTTTTTTAAGAGCTGAGCTATTCATGTAGAACATAACGAAAATAAGTAAATTTTGTAAACTATGAAACAAAAACAAAAAACAAGTAGAGAAATAGGTTGTAAATAATTTTCTTAAAAAGTAGAAAACAAAGAAATAGCAGAAATAAAAGAAATATTGCAAAGGGAAAAACATGAATTTGAATGTAAAATAGCTTTATCAGAAAAGAAAAATAATAAATTAAATTAACACCATTTCAAAGAAAGATTCCTTAACCTATTTCATGTAATAAAAATGGAAAGCGTAGTGTCCGCCTGAAAAATAATTGAACACTTAGCATGTAGTATGTCTAAAATTGTAGGTTCCTTACCTCTTTTGATAAAACGTCTAATGATTTTAGTAGAAACAGCAGAAAATTTACAATGACCCAAGATCTTACGAAGTTTGAAAATCACATTGCCATAAAAATCAGACTGACTTATCCCTTGTCGCAGAAGTGTTTTTAAATCACTATTGAACTTTAAAATTAAATAAAAATTACGATTGTAAAATTTCGTTAAATTTTTCCGTAATTTATGGAAGCGATAGCCCTTCTTAAGAAGCTTGCTAGAAATGAATATATTCCGCTCGTTAAAATCTTTTACGTTGCTACAAGCTCCAGCAAATCTAATTAACATGCATTGACAGGCATTAAAATCAATTTCAAAAGGCACTCTGTATTAAGGTCTATTCAAGAATAAGTTACGAATTCTTTTGTCTGCAATTTTATCAAAATAACCAGTGATGATATGGCCAAAATTTGAGAAATATTTTCAACTGCTAAACAATGGCAACACAGAAAACTAACACTTATGGGTAAAGTGATGGTAATAAAAATATTTGCCTTACAATATGTTATTTTGGAAAACCAATCGAATGATAAGATAAAAAAAATAATGCAATGTTTCTTTTTTATGGGATGGCAAGCAAGAAAAAATCAAATGTAAAACATTAAAACTTAATGTTAAAAATCAATAATGGTGGTTTTCAAAATGATTCATATTAATACGTTTTTTAAATGCATAAGGGCAGATTCGATTGAACGATATACAAATGAGGACAATAAAGGATTATGGAAACTTTTTATAGATCAAAAGATAAAACAGTATGAAAATAACCTTATAATCTTTCGAAATCAGATATCAATAAGCTATTTCTTCATAATTAATTCATCAACAATGTGCTTCCGCCATGGTTTCATATTCAACAAGAACATAATGATAAAAAAGAGAACCTTAAACATTTAATATGAAATAACTCAAATATCAAAATTGACAATAAATTGGTGTACTATAAAACAAGGCATTATAAAGGTATGCTATATTTAGAAAAAAGACCTTTACAAATTTGAAAATCTTAAAAATATCTATGGTATGAAAAAATGATGAGTTTTTAAAATATTACATCATTGTCATCCTCAGTAACTGTTATAGGTTTACCTACTTCTACTTTACTTAGATTGCTCCTTACATTTTTGCAGCTGCAACATTTTCAAGGACTTTGCTCCTTTCTCTAAAAGGAAAGTTTCAGCTTTTTGTACACACATATCAGAGCTTGATGGATCATGCCATCTGAAAAAAGTGGCTGGGGCAACTTGCACATCAGAAATTACGGTACAATTATAAGGATATACACATCAGAAATTACGGTGCAATTATAAGGATATACACATCAGAAATTACGGCACAATTATAAGGATATACACATCAGAAAATACGGTACAATTATAAGGATATACACATCAGAAACTACGGTACAATTATAAGGATATACACATCAGAAATTACGGTACAATTATAAGGATATACACATCAGAAATTACGGTACAATTATAAGGATAAACACATCAGAAATTACGGTACAATTATAAAGATATACACATCAGGAATTACGGTACAATTATAAGGATATATACCACTTTTCTGAATGCAGCTGAAATAAATGTGCTTGTATAATAAACATGGCATGCATTACGACAAACATCAAATCTTGTTAGTACACACCCTCAAGATTCACGTAAGTATTTGTGGCAAGCAGCATTCAAAGCTATTTGGAAAGGACCAAATCAACTGATGTCTAAAGGCTAGAGCAGATGAGAACAGTGGTGTTGCAACACAAATTAAATTATGTTTTGGAATTTCGCCAATTCAATAAGACCCGGTGACACATGGCTAGTATGTCCATCATATAGAACTAGAACATGGATATTTTCATCACTAGTTGGTAATCATTTTAGAGGTGATACTGGATATATTTGCTGAAAACCTCTGTGTTTTCAATTCAATAAAGTAATTGTCAACTGTCTGTCTTTTTGAACTTTTAGCTCGAGCAATTTCAAGTGCACGAGGTTTCTTCAGTGTAAAGTTAGGCCATTGCGCAAGGGAATTATACAGCCACTGATCTGTCAGAGGTTTATGAGCTTTACTTCTCAAGCCAAGTTGATAAGCATAATCAGTGGCTTAATTCATGGTTTCTTGTCGGCTATAAGCATAATCAATTTCAGTCATTGATTGTATATGGTTTGCTAGTAGAGCCTCATGTTCCTCTGATTATAGTGGTTGAACAGCTGACTACATAACTTCAACACTAACATTACCATTATTTCTATCTTGTAAGATACTGTAGGAAACACTAAATGTTTAAGAAGCTTTTCTAGCAGAAAGTCCATCATTTCTGACAGCAAGAAAGGCTCTTGTTAGGTTGTCAGGGTTATATGACATTCAATATGACCCTTTACAGCTTCATTACGCTATGATAAAAAAGTATGAAAAAAGACATTTTACAAGACATACAATACACTTTACAGTTGAAATAAAAACAGGGGTATTTGTAAACCGACCTTTTTTGTTTCGAAGTATACTGTAATATAAACTACTTCCGCTTGTCACGCCACGGACAATATTCGTTGCAGTAGGCGGTATGTAAACATTGATGAAACTAAAGTTAACTTTGATATTTTTGATGTTTATGAACGGACAAATTTATGATAACAGAAGATCGTCCAGTACGACATTGTTGTTGTGTATACATGTTATGTGGTAGTTTTAGTTTCTTTTATTTGGCATTTTTCATCTTGGGTGGTTCCAGTATTCCTACGTGAATACTGTATAATCAACCTAGGGATATGTTGCCTGCTTTTTAAATTTGTCTTTTGACGTCTTATATGTGATGTGCAGACTTCATTACCTCAGATCCTCTTTCAAAATTCCATTTTATTTAGTTCCGCCCATTTTTTTCTCGTTAAGCCCAGACACATTCCGTTACTTGGGGACCGTAACTTTCACTTTTCAGTACCGTCCATGAAAAGGCCCAATCAAACCGAACCTGAAACATTGTCCATTTTGCTATGTTGATCTTTTTTAGGGATTCTGTTTTTCTCTATTTTAGCAAACATTGATATTTTTAACATATACGGACTCAAGATTACTGATTTGATTTATACTTGGATCTCCATTTTGAATTGGTTTCAAATTCCTGACATCTAGGTCACTACGGTAAACAAACGATTCGCGCATATCAGTGTCGCTTTAAAAAAGGTAGGAACGACATTTTTTCTGAAATGACCGAATATAGATTGTAACCGAATATTGATTGTACCGGGATATACTAAACATGTTAGGCTTGATATTAAATCATAAGACTTTTCTGCGCCATAGGTAGCACCTTATTTCATATTAGTCATATGTTGTGTTAAGGTTTCGCGAACAGTTATTTCAAACATTATACATGTTATTGAAGTAAGACAAAATTAATTGCACCATAAAACATAAAGGTTACCTTTTTTGACATCATTGCTTGTTGGAAGGAACTTTCGTTTCCGTAGTCTACGTTCTTGTTTTGGTCACTAGGCATATCCTCTATAACCCAATTATCGGTGAATACTAAATACCGATGATTTCAAAAGTATCCCGATTAGGAACGCATGCGCAGCTAACCGTTGTCAAATTCCGCTACGTTGTGTTTACTTTGGTTCCCGCTATCTGTGAAAAGTGAAAGTTGTGTTACAATTTCATTTTTACAGGTAAGTATGAATACAAATTATATTTATCATAAAAATTCATCAAAATAATTCATGTTTACATCATCTCATTATCTCATTATCATTATCTCGGGAATATATTGTATTACCTCGAAACACAAGATTTATTTCATTGCCGTCTGCAAAAATGATCTGCGGGCACTGACAATAACTACTGGCTTAAACTTCCTGCCAATATTTTTGATTTATTAAAATTGCAATAAAAAAATTAAAAAACTAATTTAAGTTGTAGAGGAAAAATATGTTAAATATCTAAACTGCTTTTTTGCATTTCAGCTCCAATTCCATGGTAAGCAGAAGAGAAGAGCTTATGACCCTAAGTTGCTGTCTCTAGCATACAAAGATGTTGTTTAGAAAAGATCCTCAGTTTGTAAGGCTGCCAAGATGTTTGGAGTACCTGAGAGTACTTTAAGAGACAGGGCCCTTGGCCTTCAACCTGTTCCTACATCTGAAGTGTTCCCTTCAAACCTTGGGCCATCACCCACCTTTACTTCTGAGGAGGAGAAGCAACTTGTCAGCCATGTAACATATATGGCAGGTATTGGCTATGGCTATTCAAGGAAAGATTTTCTGACATTAGCAACAGACTTTGCAGTGAGTTTCAATAAAAAGAAGATCACAGACGCAGTATTTGCACATTGTATTGTCTTGGTTTGATAGTTTCAAGAAGAGAAACCCTGAATTATCTTTATGCAAGCCTCAGAAATTATCAGTGGTCAGGGCAAACTGTACATCAGAGAGTGTCCTTAAAAATATTTCTCTGCTCTTGAAGGTGTGATGGACATTTATGAAATTTGTGATAAGCCTGAAAAAATTTGGAACATTGATGAGACCGGTATAGTTATGGAGCACAACCCAACTAATGTCCTCTGTGATAAAGGAACTACTCCACAAGCTATCACGTCTAACAGAGGTAAATCTGTTACTATTATTGCTGCTGGAAATGCTGTTGGAACACGTCTTCCTACATATTATGTTTTCCCTGGTAAGAGGTTGAATGATGAGCTATTAGCAGGAAGCCGTCGTGGTTCAGCAGGCACCATGAGTGATAGTGGGTGGTCTAATTCCACAGTATTTATTACTTACATTGAAGAGCATTTTCTTAAACATGTCTCCACAACTGGTTCACCATTATTGATACTGTTTGTTGGTCATAAGTCGCATGTGAATTTAACACTTACTGAATGGGGTAAAGCCCATAATACCATATTTTATGTGCTACCTCCACATACTTCACATGTAACTCAACCACTTGATATTGGGTGTTTTGGGCCACTAAAATGCTTACTATAGTGAATGTCAAGCATTTATGCGAATAACGCCAGGCATCACCATCAATCGCTACAATGTTGCAAGCATTTCAAGTAAGGCCTACAGCAAGCTCTAACCCATGACAACTTAATTTCTTCATTCCGAAAGACAGGTATATACCCTCTTGAAAGGAAACAGATAAGTAACATCACAACTGCTCCATCCGTAATATATGTACAGGCTTATGATGAATCTCCAGCTAACAGTAAGCAGTAGTTTCCTTGATGGTAAGAAAATCACTAAGGTATCTGAAAACCCTAAAAAAAGAAAGTCACACCCATCTGATTCTGGCAATTTAATGTATCCATCAAAGTCCAACATTCTGATAAAGATAAACATTGACTATTTAAAACCTTCAAAGTTGCAAAAGAAAGCAAAATCAACCAAGTCTCCAAAGCCCAGTACCAGTAAATCAACAGTTGACTTATGTCCTGCACTTTCAGTGGAAGACAGTGAGAGTGATGAATGACAGTCCATCCTTGCAGATAGCCAGGAATCAGTATGTTGTGTCTGTAATAAGTTCAGACCAGATACCCTAATCTTGAATACATTCTTGAATTTATTCAATGGGCACAATGTGTTAAATATGGACATTGGGCCCATCTCAAATATTTACAAAGGTAAAGTGGCTAAGGCGGGATTCAACATTTTTGTGTCCCCATTGTAATTAGAATCTGACAAAAAAATGAAAAAAAAACTTGTTATTGTTTTAGTTACAGTTTTTGGAACAGTTAAAGTATTCACAGTTAACTTTTTAATATATCAATTGATTAAATTGGGTTGGAGGTTTAACCCAGTACTATAAAATTACTGTTTACATATGACGTCACTGACCTTGAGAGATTTTTAATTCATCACCGGTAATAAGTATATTGGAAAACAAAGATGGCGGCCTCCACCAGTGTTACAAAATGGTGGACATTGACCTAATTATGGGAGGATTTTCTTCAATTGACTATTGTAACACGTAAAGAAGGTATGTACAGATAAAACATTAGATAAAAATGTTTGTATTATTTTGTTTGATATCTGAAAATTCGAACTAAAAATAAAATCACCGGTATTTAGTATCACCAGGGTACTTGATCGGAAACTCCGCGGACAATAATTGAAGGAACGAAAGGTTGTATATGGTAATTATCGTTTAATGCCCCAACCTCTGAAAACCGTAATTATTAATAGTAGGCCCCACCATGACATTGTTCAGAATTTGCCAACTCAAAAATGTTATAATAAAAATGGTAAGTGCAAGATGAAGTTTACGCACACAGAAATCATAATTTTTCGGGCATGATCAATCAGTTTTTTCCTGTGTATAAATAGTTTTCGTTCAATGAAAACTGAACCCCAAGATAAACAAAACAAACTACGATCTCACGTATGTTTCCCTCAAACAATACAGGATTAATATTATTTAACCCACTTGAACAAAAAACAACAATTTTTTGTTTTTGCAGTGTTTACTTTCAAACCTCAAATATTACAGTAATCAGACATTGCATTTAATGTTTCTTTTGTAACTCATTTCTACTTTCAGCTAATATAACCATATCGTCAGCATTAAGCGACATAAACAATTTAAGATAAACTTCAAAATCATTTCCGCTTAAAGTTAGACTAACACTGACTTAGGCTTTCTAATATCTGAGACAGTAACGAGTTAAAGTTATTTAAGAACAATGAGAATAAAACGGGGGGGGGGTAAATTTTCGCTTTGTTGGACGACAGACAGACTTGAGAAAAAGTCAGAAAAATGGTCACTCCATCTAACACAAGATTTTATATTTTCATAATACTGTATATTATCTTCAAACATTTACCATCTAAATTTGAACTTTACAACTTGTTCCCTAAAGCAAATCTTTTTAAAAAAATCAAAGGTTTTCTATAATCTATAAAAAAACACAAAATAATTTCCTTTTGCTAGCCAAGTACAACTCTATCAAACATTTTAGTGAAAACATATGATCAACAATACTGTATTTCTTTCTAAACCAATCTCTTCATCGACTATTCTTAAAAAAATCGTTCCTAGCATTTGTACAACTAATGCCAAGGTTTGTATAAACACGTTGTCCTCCTTACACTACTCTTTTAATTTTTATAGGATAATTACAGTTATAGTCTTGAGCTGTAGTAAAATTCACATCTGAATTTTTTTGTAAGATAATTTATTGTACGATGATCAAAACAATTCACTTGAGTATAATTATCTAACTCTTTCATTAGATCTGATACAACATCCTCATCAAATTTACTAATTAAATCTGCTCTGACATTTTTGTCCCACGTTACTTTGTGGAACACACTATCAGATTGATAATTATAACTACCCCTGCTATCATCCTCACCCCACAAGTATAACATAGTTCTAAAACACAGTGAATATCTGGCAATGAAGGATCATATTCTTTAACATCAAAGAAGGTTATTCTTGGAAATAAACTACCAGATAATAAAACATAGTCAATAACACTATCATATAAAGAAGTGGTTTTACCAATATATGCATCAGCACCACACCTTCCATTGGCCATGCATGAACCTGCCAATTCACAAACTACCAAAGTTATTAGGACGATGATTATCACAAGACAAATGTGATGTTGTAAAATCAAGTTCATTTAGTTGATTTGTACCATCAACATTATATGTACCATGATCAAAGTTCAAATTTGCAATGTAACTATCTACTTCTTGAAAATCACTTAATCTGCCAGTCTTTGCATTAAAGTCACCCAACAAACAAAATGTGCAGTTATGGTATTCCAGATAAATCAAGTAAAATTTTCTCTTAACCATCATAAGACTTAATGTACCATAATTACAACTCTCTGGTAAATGAATCACACCCAAAATACAATGACCTTTATTTAATTTGAACCATTTAAAGTTTCATTACAGTGTTAAGTATCTGAAAATCTTTCACAAATATTTCTTTGATAAACATACCCACACTACCAGATTAACGTTGTACCTTTATAATTGAAACTCTTAAATGTATATCATTGTACATTGGGAACATCAAATGTATTAAGCTTTGTTTCTGTACAGCAGCAAATATCGTATTGTTTTATAAAGTAATTAAATTCTACTAAAAGCAATTTTTATGTTTCCAAATATTTTGGAGAGAGACAAAAAAGGATTGGAGCACCACACTAAAGACCGTATTCCGGTATATACCGGACAAGGCACTAGAAAGATTAAATGCTAAAATCTTGCCTTTTCACCACACGGAATAAACTTTAAAAGATCTTTACTCATTTTTTCACAAAAACAACAACAACAACAATCCCCCCCCCCTGATATAAGTTTTTTTATTGATCATGATTTTGCAAGCGTCTAGAGATACTGCTTTAGTCCTGTATTGAGTTAAATATTAATATTGTCTATGGACACGATTTTAATCAATAAATTCCTTCGATTTTTAGCTAAAAATAAATTCAAAACTAACAATTACTTCCGGTTTGTATAATGCAAAGTCAAATATTGGATTCCCCTTAGGTGATTCGCAGCATGTCATATAAATGAATGAGAACGGGAACAAAATTCAAGCCTGAACCGCTG